TGAGATTCCACCTCACCCCAGAAAGAATGGCTGCTATCAAGAAATCAACCAATAACAAATGCTAGTGGGGGTGTGGGGAGAAAGGAACCCTTCTCCATTACTGGGGGGAGCGCAGGCTGGTGCAACCACTGTGGAAATCAGTATGGAGATACCTCAGAGAACTAGGACTAGTGGTTCCATTTGACCCAGCTATTCCCCTCCTGGGAATCTTCCTAAAAGAAGTAAAAGAATCATACCATGGTGATATATGTGCACCCATGTTTACAGCAGCACAGTTTGTAATAGCTAAAGCTTAGAAACAACCCAAGTGCCCATCAACTGGAAACCGGATAAAGATGTGGGGTTTTTTTATAAAATGGAGTACTACTCAGCCATAAAAAACAAGAAACTAGAGACATTTATAGCTAAATGGATGCATTTTGAGGCCATACTCTTAAGTGAAATAAATAGGACACATATGTGTAAATACCAAATAGTTTCTCTAGTGGGAGAAACTGAAAGTGTAAATAAGGTTTAAAATGATTAAAATGAATAATTGATAATTTGAAATAGGAAGAAAGGTCCAAAGGTGTAGGGGTAGTGCATGGGGAAGGGGGAAGGAAAGAAGGGATAGGAAAAATTACTAAAAAAGAAAAAAAAATGGAAATGAAATCTACGTAAATAGGGAAGGGTGGAGGGGGTAAAGTGTGCACAGGAAATGGGGAAAAAATAAGAACCAAGATACATCATGTACAGGTACAAGCACCCATTGATAAATGTAAATGTATTGTATACCTTAAATGTACCAATAAAAGAACTTAAGAATAAAAAAAAAAAGTTACTACTACTAATGATCCAACAAGTGATTTTTAGGGGATTGCCTAGAGGTGGCTACAAAACTTCACATCACTTGAAGCCTTTATACACTACCTCCATACACATGCTGCTAGAGAAACAAGACCCTTCACTTCCTGTCTGCTTATGCATCTAAATCTCTCACTGACAGCCTAACTATTAGCAAAGAATAGTAAGGATTTTGTTTCTGGCCCTGACAGGCAAAGATTATAGTAGAGAGCAAGAATGATTCTGCACTGCCCAAAGGCATAGTAAGGAACCATCGTTGCAACCACCTGGAATTTAGGAAAATGTACAGGAATCCTTGTACTCCACTACCGAGGACTCTGTACTGGGGGTGTGATGACAAGTTCGGCTACAGTTCAGTGGAAGCAGCTGGTGGCATCAAAGCCAAAGAATGATTGTCTTAGCCACTATTTTGCCCCCTGACTTATATTCTCAAGTTCTCAGGATCTGGCAAGATAATTTTTTTGTAGGTTGAAATTTTCAAGCGTCTATGGAAGAAAACAAACACATTGCAAAAGTCTCTTTCCAGCCCTTCTTCTCCTTACCAGAATCCCTTCTGAGAAGCTGGCACACTAAGAACTTTAATTAATTAATGATATAAGAACTCTGGGCTTTGTCGTCCCTCTTAATGAAAACTCCTACCATTGGCTGCCTACTTTTCTACTTTAATTTTTTCTGGAAAGATTTAATTTCAATGACTGAATTACCTGAAATGACTGAAGAGACACTTTGGTTAATTTTTAACTTTAATTCAATAATTAAAGTTATATTATTTTCTATTTCCTGAAGGAATTTAATTTCAATTCTCATAACTCTTTCTTACCTCTGTTTCATAATAGCATACTTAAACTAGTAGTTCTTGATTTTTCAAGTTAGATAGTATATAATGACTCTATACTATTGAAAATCAGGAATTAGCTTTCTTATGCTTCAACATAAAACCCACATGCACATGATTCTCACTTTTCCATTGATCCTCCCAATATAAATTTTTTAGTTAAGTCGATACTATGGTTTGGAAACATTTGTTTAATTATGTCCCCCCAAGGGAATACTGCATTGAAGGCTCCATCCTCAGGGCAGTCTTTGGGAGGTGAGCCTAGTAGAAGGTTCTTAGGTCTTTGGGAACACACCCTAGGAAGGAATTATGGGACCTTAGTGTCTCTTCCTGACTTCCTGTTTGGTGATACAAGCATGTACACACACACACACACACACACACACACACACACACACAAGCACTCCTTCCATGATATGCCATCTTCCACCATCTTCATCAGAGACCAAATTAATAGAGCTATCTGATCTTGGACTTGATGCTCCAAAACTGTGAGCTAAATAAACCTTTTCTCTTTATAAAGTTAGCTGCCTCAAGAATTTCACTGTAGTAACTCAGAACTGACTAATATAGTCAGTATTCAGTATTACATTATTGTGATTATTGAATTCTTATTCCAGATGTATCACTTAATTTTCTCTCTTTTCCTACAACTTTTTTGTCTTTCTCAGTATTTGAAATTTTTTCCTTTGCTGAGTTTTTCAGTAATCACTACTTCATTTGCAAACTCTTGACTATAAAGAATAATCTTCTCTCAATAAGCTGAAATAGGTTTCTCAGTTTCAGGTGTTCTTGGAGATACCCTACCCCTCCAGACTTTCCATTCTCCTGTCCCAGTATAGAATGGTTACTCTCTGGGCTTGCTGCCCAGCTCACACTCTGAGATCACCAACCAGGGAACTGGACACTATACCTCATTAAGTATTCCTGAGCACCTTTCATGATGTAATCAGTTATTATTGTTGTTGTTGGTAGTGATGGTGGTTTTCTCCCCAGATCGGCTACAGGCTACTAGGTTCCCCACCAAATCATGAACCTCCCATACACACCGTTTTGAGATGATCCCACATATGTCTCAGGCATGTAGCTATAGGAGACTGGTACATTCCAGAGATCAGGAGGCTCCCAATATCCCTGTTGTCTGCCTGAGTGGGAGACAATAAAAATAAAATTAAAATGTGTGGGAAGGATTTCTGAGAAAGTTATCCAAACTGTTTGTGAAGATAGATGTTAACATTATTTCCTTAAACACAGGATGCCAGAAAAACAGAAAATCAGAGATTGCAATAAGTGGTACAATATAAATATTAGTTTCAAAGTGCCAATATTTTTCTCTTTTTAAAGATAACTGCTTTGTACTAAGAGATATCTCCTATGCAGGTGAGTTCTTTATAGGCTAGTGAGTGATCAAGTCTTTTTCAAAATCCATTTTCCAGGGCCAGGGATTTAGCTCAGTGGTTCTGTTGCCTGCCTCACAAGTGCAAGGACCCAAGTTCGATCCCCAGTACCAAAAATAACAAAATCTATTATCCAAAATCATGTCTATGGCCATTACTCAATGGAGTTCAGACTTTGGTTCTCTTCCTCAAATTCAAATGTTAGATAATAGCTAGATTATTACAAAAGTATGGAACTGTAGCTCAAATACTGAATGTCCTCCAAAGGATCCTGTGTGCTAAAGGATTGCCTCCAGGGTGGTGCCCTTTTGAGCTGGTGGACCATTTAGGAGGTGAGGCCTGGTGGAAGGCCCTTAGGTAAGTGGAAGCATACCACCCAAGGGGACTGTAGGACTCTGGCCTGTCCTCTCTTCCTCTTTGCTCTCTGGCTCATGATGTGATGATGCTCCACAAAAAGCTCACACCTATGATGTGTTGTTTTCACTAGAGGTCAAAATGGTTACTTGATCTTGAACTGGAATCTCTAAAACTGTGAGCTGAAATAACCCTTTTCTCTTTAAAACTCAAGTATCCCAGGTGTTTCATTATAGCAACATGAAGCTGACACTCATTTCATCAGCTGAGACTTCCTGGAATGCCAAATAGGAAGAGAAAGGGAAAAAAGCATTATTTTGCTACACATTTCACAGAGAATATAAAATGAAACTGATTTAGATCTAGAGTGAGGGTTATTTTTCACCATTGCACACAGACCACAGCAGAGTTCATTGCACCATAAATACTATGTACTATGTTTACACATGCATGTATATAATATCTACTGTGTGATATCAGGCTTAGATAGTGTTTTAATCACTTAGCCATTCTCATGTTCTATTTTTACCCTACTAAGAGTAAAGTAGCAATAGATTTCTATGATTATAAGCCCTCTTCACCCTTAAAAGAATCATATAAATCAATTTTTAAAAGGTTTTATATTTTCAGTTCTTCTCTAAGGTAAAGAACCAGTTGCATGTAATAAACTACATTACTCTTAAATATGTAGCTTAATAAATATTTACACATTTAAACATCCATGTTATCACCATCCAGATCAAAGTAGAAAATATTTCTTTTACCTAGAAAGTTTCCTTATGCCTGCATACAAGTTTGGTACATTTTCAATGATAAACAAATTTTATTCCTTACATATTACTTTCTACACTTGATCTTAACCAAAAGGCCAAGCAGCAATGCACATATTACTTTCTATTAGTGAGAATATTTAATTAAACAGAACTTTGACCACTTCAGGGAGACAAGAGGACTAGCATTTATCATCCAAATGTAATTTGCCAAGTTCTTTAACATTTCATGTTGATCCTGTTAAGCAGGTATAATTATCTCCATCAAGCCAATGAAAAAGCTTTGGCTCTAAGAGTTTAAGGGAACTTGTCAATGTTTAAGGGCCCATAAACAATTCGAGAGAGAGAGAGAGAGAGAGAGAGAGAGAGAGAGTGTTTGTGTCTGTGTGTTTTTGTGTCTGTGTGTGTGTGTGGCTTATATTTTGTTTTTTAACCAACTATTATTTATTTATGTCTAATTCAGAAATACAGTAATACAGGATAAATTAAATCTATCCTATGTAAATCTATTCAGTAATGCAGGATAAATTAATAAATATCCTATTTATCCTATTTAAATCTATTCAGTAATACAGGATAAATTAAATCTATTGAAAAATGTAATATAAAAATAACTAATAATTATTAGTTTACCTTCAAAATACCTTAATGGACAAAAAGAGAAAGCTCATGCTCGTGTTCTAACTATACTTTAAAAACAAAATGATATAGCTTTTAATCTCTTTGAAATGGTCACCTTTGGTACTGATTTTCAGGTCCAGAAGTAAAGAAACAGTGTTAACTAGGCTATTTGGATGACCTCAAATTCACCCAATCATCTGGACTGGGAATCAAACATCCCAGGTCATGGGAATAGTAGTTTTAGGGTACTCTGCTTAAGTAATCCTTAAATACTAACCAATTTTTGTGATTTCAGAACTTTATGACCAAATGTCCTGCTTTGTCTGAAGCAGTGTTAGCAGTGAAAGACCATTGTCCCAGGAAACCCCTCAGTCTCTGGCAAACAGGAATGGCTCGTCACCCTCCTGAACAACTTCCAAAGTACTTTAACTGTTGGTTTTGGTCTCTGAAATTTCAAAGGATGTTTGGGAAAGTGGATATGATCACAAAAGGAAATTGTGTGACTTTGTTCACCAAAAAAGAGTTTTTGTGTTTCTTTTTTTGAGACAAGGTCTCACCATGCAGTTTAGGCTAGTCTTGAACTCACTATGTAGCCCAAGCTGGCCTCAAACTCAGTGATCCTCCTGCCTCAGCCTCCCAAGTGCTAGGATTATAGGCACAGGCATGCACCACCACACCTGGCTTCAAAAAAAAAGTTTTGAAAAAGAATAAAGATGTATCTGCTATGTACACCTAAGGAAGCAGCAGAAGAGGAATGCAGTTTCTGGGAAAAGGGACTCAGTGCTGCCTGACTGGGAAAGGATGGTGACCCCTCCCTGTGTGCCCTTTGGATGTGCACTTATCATTACACTAGTCCGTGTCCTGAACCATGCTCCTTGGTAGGTCTTGAGGGGCTGTAGGATGGGTGGCAAGGAAGTAATGGAGATGATTGCAAACACCCTCACCTGCATTAACTAGCTTTGGGCTTAGCCATTTTACATTTGGCTTCTTTACAAGATTTCATTTGAATAACAGGTACTATGATATTTTTGAAAGTCTGAAACCCATATCACTAATCCTTTTACTTATGGTCTGTAAATAGCAATCCTTTGTGAACAGTTCTTTCCAGAAGAGGAACGTGAAATTCTGCTGGGAACCCAAAGATGTCAAAGGAATCAGGTTCAAATCCTGACTCCATACTTGCTCCCTGTGACTATGAGCAAGTTTCTCTGACCCTGTAAGCCTTAATATCACCATATGTTTCTAAGGTTTTTTTTAATACCTCTTAGCCTTAATATCTTCATGTGTGAATATATTAGCCCAGGATTGGTGTGAGGATTAAAAGTTGGAGCACTCATGAATGTAACTAGCATTGGACCTGCGTACACATCAAACACACAATAACTGTCTGATCTGAGACAGAGGCTAAGTATTAAGAGCATTGATCTGGTAGCAGTCTTCAGCCCACATGGATGCTCCTACATTGGCCCTCCTGCTCCACCCCAAGCTCAGCAAGCAGTAGCAGACCTTAGAGAAAAATGTATGGCTAAGCTTCAGATCTTCCAGATGCCAATTAAGAGCCAACTCTGGGCTTAATCAATGGGGACTATGATTGGAATTGTCCCTGGGTTCAGAAATCAACACAGAGGTCCTACAGCAAAGAGGACAAGTGTATGAGGAGGCAAACAGAATGGAGATGGGGGAGGAGCGGTCGGTTGGCCTCCACATCGTCATGACTGGGAGGAGCAGAGTTGGTTCACCACAAAATAGGACTCATCAGTGATCAGAATACTCTCAGGAATTCTGATTCAGATGAGGAAGAGGCAATGTTGGCAGGGAGCCAAGAGAAAGAGGGACTAAAGGCAGAAAGGAAGCAGGAAGGTGAACACAGAGATGGAGAAAATAAACAGAATCATTGAGGAGTCCCACCCCTGAAAACATTGCCATTGAGTAAAGAGAGAAGCTTTTATTTTAACATTTTCAGTAAACCACATTTACCAATACTTAAAAGACATACACTTCCCACAAGCAGATGGTATATTTGTGGGATACACATTAACAAAATTTAGCCTTAGCACTCTATACAAGATCATAACCTGCATGTAACATCTGCTAAGTACAGCCTGGGAAGCCCCACTGTATCAGCATTAATAATCTGGAAAGCCTCCACCAAACTCCTTCACCAGCCACCTGGGCTGCTCAGTAACTCTGGCACCATTCCCAATCTCAATCAGGAACTCTAATGGCACTAGTCTAGGTGGCCATCAACAGATGAATGGATAAAGAAAATGAAGTGCATATGCAATGGACCCTTGACTTATGAACTGAATTCATTCCTGAGGGCTGGTTGTAACTCCAGTTAGTCAACTGAAGGCTCAGACTCTTCTACACAGCCTTCAAAGTCTCTCTCCTGTATACAGGCAGATTTCAGTGTCCTTAGAGAGACATTGGCCAAGGATTTCTCAATTAACCCCATACAGGAAAGGATGTCATAATGTTCCTTCCAGAACTCTTTAAGGGTTAAATCTGTATCTGAGACCATCTGCAAACACAAGCAGCTAGCATTGGGGTCATAACTTAAGACTTTGTTCATAAGTTAAAACTAAAATTTCAGAGGTAACCCAAGTTGTTCATATGTCAGACCAGTTGTAACTCAAGGGTCCACTATACCTGATGCCATATTTCTCAGTCACTTAAAAGAACAAAATTTCATCATTTACAGAAAAATAGATCTGGAGATCATAATGTTCAGTGAAATAAGCCAGACTCAGAAAGACAAATATCACATGTTCTCCCTAATATGTGGAATCTAAAAGAGATGACAAGATAGTAGAAGGAAGGCTATTATTAGACAAGAGGAAAAGAAGAAGTGGAAAGAAACAGGAGTGTAAGGCCAGGTAATTGGGGACTGGATATGAACAAAATACATTTACACATTGAAATCCCCCAAAACACATGTGAAACAGAGGGGAAGAGCCAGGTGAGGGTGTGATGGAGGAGGAATGATTAAGGTATGTTATGTGT